AGACTGGATATGCAGCGAATATCGGAAAACCAGATGCAAGGCTAGAGTGACTACCATGAAGAATATGGCGATTTTGGTTAATGACCACAACCATACTCCTAACTGGATTGATAAAGGTGTCGAATCGCTGCCGTATCAGGACGTCAGGATTCTGCATAAGAAGTCATAACAGATTGACCCTAAAAACGGTCCTGTTGAGGTTCTTAAATGCCTATCTTAAAGCTTCAAATGTCTGGTTTTGGATCATTTAGTTAAAAAATATTGTGAAGAAAAAATATAAACTAATTTTATATACTTTTATTTAGTTTCACGGACTTGGAAAAATATTTTCCGCTTGACCGGTGCCTGTTTAATTTTTTATTTTCTTATTTTCATTTTATTTTCTTTCACGATTTTTTGTTGGCAAGTATTGATATTCCATCGAAATGAATACTTTAGAGAATATCATATTAACTGTATTTGCATGTACGAGGAGGTACCCAAAAATAATCGGAATAGCGTTGCAGTGGGCGGAGCTTGTGTAGTACACATTCCTGCTCCTAGAGGCGAACAGCGCAACTCGGTGCCAACTGAGTTGTCGATCTGGCTTGTTTCGTACTCTGTTGTCATTATTTTTGCTAGATCTGTTTCGTGCTTGTTTCGTTTTTTACGATGACATGCTTCAGTGAGCAACGTGCAGCTGTGAAATTTTGCGTTCTAATTGGTAAAAATGCTACTGAAACTGTTTTGATGTTGAAAATTCGAGAGCTTGTGCTATTTGGAGGTTTTAAGACCAGATTTGTGGCTGTCAGGAGACTGGTTCTTCCACCACGATAATGCACCTGCGCACACAGCCATCTCTGTTCGACAGTATTTTGAAAAAGTTGAAAATAAATAGATTTTAAAAAATAGTTCCGTTTTGGTTTGGGTACCCTTCGTCTAGTTGAGGGAAGGAAGAAAGTTGAATTCCGTTCTTTTCTGACTAGGAATTATGACATGTGGCTGTTGAACATATGACATAATTCTCGAGAACTATATATTTTTGTTCCATTTACTTTTCCGTATTTTCATATATTTCCTGTGTACGAGATTATGTAAAATCTGAATAAACAGCTTCAAAAAAATATATTTTTCTCTATTAATACAGTGGCTTTCTTAAACGGGCATACTTCTGAACCCACACACATACACGCACTGTTCTAATATGTGTCATATTTCGAACCCAGCATCTACAGGCTAACAAGCTAACTATAGAGAACGAAAATATGAATTTTGCACTAAGTAACATAACCTCAAAATAGAGCGTTGACACGGAACACTAGAAAACTATGAAAATCAAGGAGACCATAATGCTGGATCCAAGTCCGATCTCTGACATTGACATTGCAAGATGAAGGGTGCTGCCGTGTATATTGAACACTACAATATTTGATATTATTTATCTCAGTGACTTGTTAGGGTAGATATTCACGTTATAGAACATTCAAAATTTGGCGGCTTTGACAATTGACAACAATGTAAATAACCTTACATTTGCTTGTCACTTTAAAGCGCTAAACATTTTCGAGAACTGATGCCTTGGTTGGCTAAAAAGACCGTCAAATTGTCAAATCTTCAACATGGGAATTTTTTCCTGGTGCTGCACTCATCGCAAGAGGCCACTTTTTACGAACGAGTAACACCTAACCTGTTCCGGTTTTTACTTTTACTGTTTTTAGAAGAAAAACTACTACACTTCATCAGAAAACAATGACAACAATTTCGTAATTATTATCAACACTCTCTCAGCCCTTAAAACTGTTTAAAGAACAGAAGAAATTTTTCTTCTGAACTGTGCACAAAATCATGCTAAATACCCCCCCCCCTCATCCTTAAATCGGCAAATAAAAGTTATGATTTCTTTGAGTACTGGATTTTATCAACAAACCATTTCAGGCATCCTGTATTTCGCTCCGACTGGCAGAAAAAACTCCAAAATCATTTTGGACGGTTACGAATACGAATTGAACTTCAGAGGTACATCGCACTCTTTCTGGAAGTGCACATCGTACTACAAAAAGAGGTGCAAAGCCAGGCTGAAAACTTTCGGAAAGGTGGCAAAGCACAGCAAGGAAAGGCACAACCATCCACCTTCCAGACTCGATACTTGTGGAATGCCCTACGGCATTTTTACAATCTTAAATTAGGTTTTGAAGCAATAAAAAGTAGGAAATGTTAAATTACTGTATGTTTATACCTAAGCAGCTGTGCAGGCAGAAGCCTGAACGCCAGGTCACCGCGTTTTGTTAAACCGATTTCTGAAAGGTTAATAAAACTCGGAAAAGCCTCCTCTTGTATATTGTTTCACAATCTCGGTACCCCAGGGATTGAGGAGCGGTCGTATCGGCCAGTTCTAGATGTAGGATAGGTTATTTTTCGCTTTTACAGTTTGATTTTGAATATGATAACTTCGACTTCTTCCTGGTCTTTTTCAAAGCGCAATTCAACGAAGTTGACAATTTAACCAAATAATCTGCTTATATGAAAACCGAGCAAGACATCACAAAAAAACATTATCTAATACACCTAGCTAGAAAAAAATTACCAGCCAAAAATATTTCAGGAGTGATCTACTTTGCACCAACTGGAAGAAAGAACTCGAAAGTAATCCTTGACGGCTACGAGTATTCGTATCAGGTGGTCAAGAACGCTGGCATGACTTCGTACTGGAGGTGTCCCAGGTACTACAGAATGGGGTGCAAAGCAAGAATGAAGACGTTTGGAAAAGTCGCCATGCTCTCCAATACGCATAACCACTCACCTGGCGATCTGAATACTGAAGGAATAGCTCACGGAATCTTTACCATCCTTCGTAAAGTCTAGTAAAAAACACTCACCAGTTATAAACGACACTTTTTCAATTGTGCTGTTCACACGATCACGATTCAGTTCATTCCTAGAAGAAGACTGGAAACAGGAGGTTAAACTACCTAAGACTGTATTTTTTTATCAAAACAGCGTTTTAATCACCATTCAAAGCCTGATTTATTACTTTTACAATAATTTATTACAACACTTGCAACTAATTTATTACAAATTTATGGCTACGTCAACTGGTCTATGATATTGCGCGTTGATGGTCCACCGCCGATCGGCTATGTCTCTCTCTGCCCTCTATGCATGTATTTATTTTTTAGTCGACGAATCCAGAAGCGTTCCCGCGTTTTCCAGATACAACTCGAGTCTTCATCGAAGCTGGTAGATGGCGTTCAATATTTTTCGACGCATGATGAATATTCTCATCGTTACTCAAAGTTCTAGTTACGAGGGCATTGCAATATAAAGCCAATAATGTCGGGTCTCGTAAATGTGATGCGCGTAGAACTTCCGAGCATGTATACACAAACACTTTGTTGGTTTATTAATTTTGAGCAAAAATCATGCTTGTAACTTTCCTGAACTTTCAAAACTGGAGTTATTCACGTTTCACGTTCATTACGAAAGCAACAGAGATGTAGACGTGAGACAGATGCCACATGCACACATCTTTCTCTGTAATTTCGGTTTCAACTTTCACTTTACCCTCCTGTTTCCAGTCTCCTTGGCATTATCCGCACCTAGCGTGAACTTGCCTCTCGCTCTCCCATTGACGTCAGAGCAGTGTTGCCGAACCTACCGATTTTTCAGTATTTCTACCGAAATGACGTTATTCACCGAAATACCGGAAACGATTTTTTTAAGCAATTCAGATATTTCTAGATATTTTACCGAAAAATGGGTAAAACCAGAAATAAACCTAAATAGATTAATTATGTGTAGCCGATGCAGTTTTATGCCTCATACCAAGCATTCAGATGCGTACACTTATTCTGTCGGGCACACGAGGAACGTAGATTTGGGTTGGCTATAATTAAGTACCCATATCCGTACTTCGCTTTTCCTTTGTTGGTTTTTGTGCGCACAACATGTACAGACTCGTATATCATAGTCAAAGCTCGTCTGTTTTGACTTAAATATTAGATTAAAATGTCAGGTGATGAAGCTTCTAGTTTTGAGGCCTAGATCCACCGCTGCTCTGATTTTGTCCTACTAGCAATTTTGACGTTAAATCTATGGTTTCGTCTTTTTCGGCTCGGCAACACTGCATTAGAGGCGTTCACACGGTCACGATCCACGATTCATTCCAAGAAGACTGGAAACAGGATGGTAAATTGCTTAAGTCGTATTCGTATGGAAGCAGTATTAACGATTCTAGTGCGCGTAGAGAAATCCTATAAACATCTAGGTAGGGTAAAAGATTACGCGTTCACGTGATCGTTCAGCAACAGGTGGACAGAGCCGTATTCAGGCGTTCATTATGCAATATTCCTAGAATCCAATGGAAATCTCTTTATATCATACATATCAGCTACATGTTTCATGTAAAAGAAATAATTTCAGTTGTAATTGTGAAAATGCTTCACCAATAGCAATTGCAAACAACAAGATATGTTGGTATCATTGCAAATGGTGCTGAATGCGGCCCTGTCCAATGCTTCAGTTTCCCGCGCACAATTCTCCTGTGTTTACATACATTCTATCTTGGATTTGGATGGGGTATAGTTAAGAACCATTAAAAGTATCACAATAACTAACATTTTTAGAAAGCAAAGTATTTGAAGAGTCTCAAACTTTGTTTTCCAGTTTTTTATTCCAATAATTAATGTACCTTAAAAAATGCCAACATTTTTTGTGTCATTTCTGGTTATTCATACTTTATATTAATCATAGAATGTATAAGATATCTTTAATAAAATGTTTTTCAAATTGTAAAGTTGTATTTTCTTGCAAAAAGGTTTTACAGTAAGTAGTATATCTAGTCTTGATTAACTTTGCGAAGTGTTGTCAAAAACTGGGAAACGGCCAGGTAAGGATTTAAACAATTATTTTCAAAAATCTGATTGGTAATTTAAATACTCTCGACGTTCCTGTAGGCAGAACAGCCACGATGTTGAATAAACATTTTTTTTAAAATACATCGATTACATAAAAGGATTGACATGATTTATTTTTAGGTCGCATCTTCTTTTGCCTGGGCAGAACGAATCCAAAAATAATAGTAAACAACTTTGTGTACAAAATTAACAACAGGATGTCGGACAGAACGTATTGGAAATGCACAGCTTATAATAGAACCAAGTGCAAGGCAAGAGTTACTACACAAGGCAACACAGCAAGGTGAATGTTAAAAAAAAATTTATATACAATTTTTGTCAGCAATTACTGAGCATTTTAATGAAAATAACAGTACCACAGAGAGATGATTTTCAAAAACGGATGCATTTTTCATCAAATTTGCTTGCATTTGATTTATTTTGAAAAATCGCGGAAAAGTAGGACGTTTTCTGTATTATGGTAAACGAAGTCTCATTTCTGTGAAAATACCGAAAAATCGCTAGGCTGGGCAACACTGTTAAAACATGCAAAGAAGGACAGCTCGATACGAATCTATGAACGCGTACCTTTAGGATTATCGTCAGGATGACTTCTACAATTACATTTATTTGCAGATTGAACACAGAACACCACAATCATCAACCACCCGCTATCAGTTACGAAGGATTGCAGTCTCAAGTTGTCTCTATAATACTATCTAATTCAAGGTCCAGCGTCCGGAGGGAAGAGGAACTTTAAACTGTTCCACCACAGCATATGTAATTCAGTACCTTGCAGTTTCGTCTCATTTCTGCTACATGGATTTCAGTTTTTTATTTGTTGAAAATGTTTGTCGTCAATGTTTTATAGGTATTTTCTATTTGACTATATTCCAACACTCTATTGTATTGAGCGTCATCAAAATAAACCATCTATCTATCTAAAATGACAAATTTCTTTTTAACTGTGATATCCTCCTACAATAAACCTTAGTGCTTCTCCGACTGACACCAATAAATTTTAGGAGGCTATATTTGGATCGGAGCCGGTACGAAGAACCCGAAAATAATCTTAGATCGAAACGAATTTACGATTAACACGAAACAAGGCAATCGAACCCGATGGAGATGCACTCATTATTTCAAAAGCAAATGCAAGGCGACCTTGGTCACATATGGAAGAGTCGTGAAGGTCAACCAGTTCCATAACCATCTGCCAACTGATCCCACCGGGGAAAATCTGCTGAAGCAACACGTCAAAATCATCAGGAATCCAAATATTATCATCTGAATCTAAACCGTATCCAAATCCAAGAGTGGAAACAGGTGGACAGACCAGACTTGCAACCTGACGACAAACTTTCATAGAAGCAAAACGATAAAGAATTCAATTCCCTACGAAATTGTTCCTATTATTTTAGGATCGACCGAAAGTTTTACCTTCGCCAAAATTGTAGGAAAAAATTGAGAGATTAAACGAACTTACCTAAGTGAAGTTTAATCCTAATTATATCAGCCTCGCCGGAATAAATAAGCTCCCGCCCTTTACTCTACCCTCTCCAATATGTTGCAACAAAGCTTTGAACAGGTATGAGCGTTCGACGGAGTGGTGGTAAGGACAGGAATGTATCCAGGGTGGGAAAATTTGCTTTGAACTGTGTGAGATTTGACTGCAAGCAGAGCTACTACACTTATCTTATTTATGAAGGCGAGGCGCAATATAATTACCTATTTCCTGGTCTAAGTGTATAGTGCATGTCTTTGTTTTGGATTTGGATGGGATTAGTATAGTTATACAAATAATTTCATTATCGCTTGTGTAAAAAGTTATGAATGCATAATATGGAAAGTTATTGATTGCTGCTTTGTTTTATCATGACATTCCAGAATGCACAATTTTTATACCTTCTTAATTGCGAACTGCATCTTTTCTGCACACTGATGAACGTTGTTGTTGAAAACAGAACAAAACTATTTATCCATTTCTGAGGGATCATTGAGATGGATTGGAACGTCTTTTTTTTAGATTTTTGTTTACGCATTAATTTGAGAGCTTTATAATATAATTGTTGATAACGATAAGTAATTACGAATCCTTGGGTTGGAAAATACTGCTTAAGGCGTTCTCATAATAAAGAGGCCTCAAGAAATGTCTAGACATCCCTCATATCTATGGTTACTAATAAAAAATATACAATAGTAGCCGCACAATGTTTTCACATGCAGTGAATTTCAACCAAAACATTGCATGTGAATTATGCAAACGACGTTACCAATTTTAGATAATGATAAGCTTTTTACGAGTATATTCTTGTTATTTTATAAATGCATACATGTATTACATGCAATATACACATAACTAAGCATAGTTTTATGAATTCGGTTTATTTTTTAATTGTAATATGGACAATTTATGAAGGATAGTTTGTATGGGTCAATAAAGAGTGCAAATAATTATCGGCGTATCATTTTTTCATCATATTACTAGCTCAAGTTTGTAAAGAATATGGACAAATTCACATATATATATATACATATACGTTATATAGGTGAACAACTAAAGCTTCCGCCTCTTGTTGGGTACTTCGACAAAAAATTTAAGCAAAGAGGACTCTTTATACTTTTTTTATTCTCTCTAGCTTTCAATGGACTTTGCCATCATCATCAGGAGCTGCAATTACATTGATAACAGTAGCAACAATAATGTAAAATGCTACTGTTATCATTGTAATTGCAGCTCCTGATGATGATGGCAAAGTCCATTGAAAGCTAGAGAGAATAAAAAAAGTATAAAGAATCGTCTTTGCTTAAATTTATGTCGAAGCTTTAATTGTTCACCTAACTGGTCTAGACGACAATGACCACGTCTCAAGATATATATATATATATACAGGGTAACTTTGAAGTTGAGTCATTAATTTTCAGATAATGATTGTAGAAGGAAGATAAACCAAAATATGTGTGTAAAAATAAAAAAAAAATAAAAAAAAATGTTTACCTTGTTTTATAAAGTATCCTCCCGACAAGTATTTCAGTGCGGACCTGTATTTGATCGTGAGGTCCCCTGTTAGGTCTGAAGTCACCTGATTCACGAGCCCGTTGTACTACATTAACAAGGGCACGAGGGGTTGGTTGCACTCGATTGGGAAACCGATCCGCATAAACATGTGCCATTTTTTATTTCGTTTGAGCCACGCAACAGACACTATTCACACGCGACTGACACTAACTGTATGTATAACTGAACTGAATAAAATAAACATCGTTCAAAATTCTTTCGCTTTTTTGTTTCCGATGCGATGAACCGATAAGGTGGATTATATCCGTTGTTGCCAAACAGGAGCACATAATATTATTATTGAGACAGGGCGGTACTCAAACTTCCAAAGGGCTATAACTTTGTTACTTTAATTTTACCAGAAAAATGGTAAAGGAAAAAACATTTCTCTTGATCAGATCTACTCACTGTTAAAATAAATGACTCAACTTCGAAGTCATCCTGTATATACAGTATATTCACTGAATCAAAGCGTCAAATAATGACACGCACATGGTTGCCACATTACTTAAAACTACTAGATCCTAGGAAATAAACACAGCTTGATTATCTTAAAAATCGTTTAGTTCCTTTATCCTTTGACGCCTTGTGACCTGATTTGACCCGTTTTTCAACAGAGACAGTGAGCCCCAAGGCATAACATGATATAATCGCCTAAGATATTTACGTGTTGTGAAAAATGTGATACTGTTTTATGTAAGACATGTATAGATAAGAACCGTTGCTCCCTTTTCGAATATATCATTTGTTTTTTCAAACTGTAATTGTATGTGTGATTTCAGTTGGAACCGTCTACTACTTTGACGCAAGGACTCGTGAGCAGCTCATCTTGGACGGATTCGTTTACAAATTCCACGTGAAAAGGGGTGAAAAGAATTATTGGAAATGCACCTCGTACAAGACCAAATGCGGTGCCAGATTGGTCGATGAAGGAGACACAATCACGATCAATTCAGTGGGGCACAACCACGATCCAGTCGCCTCTGACTACGGACATTTCAAGTCCCGTGATGTGAATCTGACCATGACGGATCGACGTCCTTTTTCTAATCTTTATTAGATGCACAATATTATACTGTTTCTGAGTTATACCAATAAAAATTCATCTTTACTGGTTGCAGATATATATGTATATATGTATCCAGCAATATATATATATATATATATATATATATATATATATATATATATATATATATATATATATATATATATATTGCTGGCATACAATGTGAGGACCGACCAGAAGGGATGCAGCTACAAATGTGGTGATAGGTATGATCTGGTAGCACGTCATTGTTATATCTAAAAGTGCCGAGTATACGCGGAAAAAACTATTTTAAATTTACGACTTGTATATCGGACAAAGTGGGTACCGACTGAGCGCCTAACATAACGAGGTCCGTATATTGAAATACTTATAACAAACGAAGTGAGGACCTTCCAGGATATATTCTCACTTAGCGCATACAGAGCGAGGACCGTACAAGGTTGCCTATGTCAACTGGTTTTTCTCAAAGTTCACTTTGTTTGATACCTAACTGTGATGCCAGCAATAAAGAGAGAAAGAGAGAATTGTTGGCCGTTTCAGTAGCTTTAATAATAACAAGATACATTTTTCGTGAGCGTCTGCGAAATGCGATCCATCTGGGATACTGAAACACCCCAACCTGCAATAACAAAATGGCGTCGAGTAGGCTGACTCGTTCGGGAATCACGATATTCAGCGAGTTAGGATACATTTCGTGAGCATCTGTGAAATCAGGAAAAACTTTGGTCAAGAACTGAATTATTTAACCTCAATGTGATATTAGTTGGTACCTTTATAATAACACATACATTTAGTTTTGCTTTATATACTTTATTTATTATGCCTATCGGTCTCAGTAGATCTTCAGCTGCATGTCGTGTATTTTTGTTCCCTGACCGTCTCTGTTTTCAGGCATAGTCTACATAATTCCAGGAACGAAGAATCCCAAGTTGATCGTAGAATGCAACGACTATTCCGTTTACTTGAAGGAAAACGACAAAACTAGATGGCGTTGCAACGCCTATTTCAAAACGAAATGCAAGGCGACCCTGTTGACGTATGGCAAGGTGGTTAGGATGAACCACCAGCACAATCATTATCCCATGTTGAAAGGTGGCTTTGACAGACGTTACCCCCAGAAAGTTCATATTATCAGAAGCCCCAGTCAGTAGTTGTGTCTAAACAGCGAATTTATAAAAGTGTTCGAAATTTCGCGGCTGTTCCATCAGAATCGCACGCAGATCTCGGTAACTAGTAGCAAAGTAGCAAGTGCCGCTTAAAAAGCGGCCATCTCGCTTTTGTGCTTTTTTACAACCGTCGATAAAAATCGTAAACAGACACTATAAGTACGTCGTGAACTATACCGTGTAGTATGCGATGACACCGAACACTTTTATAAATTCATAGCGTACTCACTTTTGCAGTGAACTTTGACACTAACAAGTGTGATTTTTGATGAAGAGTGGTTGTTATCCACTGGGTAAATCGTGACATTGATATAAATATTTCTAATAAATGATTATTTGAATTAAGGTCTTAGTTTCTTTGGATACGCCCTTTACGACTTTTCGATTGCCATACGCGAAATCAGCGTCCCAAATAACTCGAGTATATCGATTTTTGTGGTCTACACAAATGGACATTTTGCATGGAGGAACATCAAAGCTTATTTTGTACTCTTGTATAAAGCCTGATCTATGAATATTGCTCTAGTAAAGTGAGCTTGCTCGCTTGTGGTTGGAGAGGGAATATTTTTTTTGCATCGTGAATAAAATGCGAAGTCAAAAGATCTTTTTGTGTGTAAACGTGTGTCATCTCTGAATCAGATATTGATGAGAAATATCATAATCCTGTTACGTTTATCTATTTTTAGTTATAACAGATTCAA